TTAATGGTGCAGGGAGCAGGAAGAAGGCTACTCTGCACAAAACTCATCTAATCATTGCCATTAAGAAACAAATTCAGGTAAATTGGTACCAAATCTCTCTCCTGCAGTCACGTAAATGAAGTAGTTTAAAATACTAATTGCATCACACTAAATGTATTCACATTAGACACAGCACTGATTTAAATACATTAGTTAAAAATCATACTTTTAACCAATGTTGTAAAATCAGTATGAAGGCTGTGTTTAAGATCCTTTGTCCCTACTTCTCTGGCAAGGAGAATAATAGATGATGGTTTATTTAAAGTCCTATTATACTAGCAAAATACAGTTTGAAAGTAATGTAATTATTTTGCTACAGTTCATTAAGGAATTCTTACTCTGTTAAATTATCTTGGTTTTCTTAAAAAGCTGGAAAAACAACACTGAGGCCTTGAACCAGCGACTCCCGGGCTGCCAGGAGATGGCACTGATGGCCCACGAGCCCTTGCACACACGCCCATGATGGAGCCCAGAGCCGCTGCAGGGTCACCCTGCCCTGGATCCCAGTACTGTACCCTGCTGGCACTGCAGCCCCAGGAGCAGTCTGCAGCACACCGCAGGAAGTATTTAGACATAACACATGCACTTATCTGTCAGGTTACCTCAAAGCAGTGTCTGGAGTGCAGTCGCCTCTCCTGAGATTGTGGGGGAGAAAAGACACAAGAGCTGTGTGAGTAATTTACCCATAATGGGAATGCCATTAAACCTTTGCAGTTTCACCTTTTGTAAGTTCCAGTAAATGCAGGCACTGCAGAGAAACATACTGTACTATGCTAACATCTGTTTTGTTACCTTGGCCAGCAATAAAATTAACCATGACCACTCACAGGCGGTATCTCCTCTCTACACATTATAATTTTAGACTCTACATTTAAGAGTAATTTGTTTTTAAAGAGTCAAGATTTCCCCTAGCAGAATTAAGGGTTTTAGTGCTAATGTCTATAATTGGCTTTACTTCTAGGTATGTAATAAGCTTGGAAATAAGAAGACAGCATGAAACACTATTAAATTAAATACGTACACTTTCAGTTCCAAAAGAAGAAGCATGAACTACAGAGGGTAGGGTACAACTGACACTTTATTCCTTCGTGATGGAGATATATAGTATTGAAACTGCAAGAATCACAAAAAAAAAATTAAATCAAAGTGCAAACCTCTATTAAAACTGATAATGGAATGTATTGATGTTTTTGGCACAAAAAGTGGGGAATTATATACTGCAACAAGATTAAGTTTAATGAATGTAATGCTTCTGTGCTCAGTAGTCACATTTGTGCACTGCAGAACAATACAATGTAAAACAGTGACTAACACGATTCACATACAACTCCATACAATTTACATCACACGTCCAGTTAAAACTTCTCTGAAATACATGAGGTCCACTGATACTTTGTTCACAATCACTTAACAATTACCATTGTTTAAGCAGGCTTATCTTTTCAGCTTCCTTATTGATAAAAGCAAAAATAGACAATCTTAAATAGTAAATTATCTTCCTCAAATGGTTCCATGTGGATGTTGATGTTTTCTATTAATTTGGCTCTGACTTCATTGATAAAACATATATGAAGCTGAACAAAATCAAAAGTTTTTTTCCCCCATATTTTCCAATTTGCTGTGAACAAACAGCATTCTGTATACTGCCTTTTTGTTTTCAAAACTGGACATAGTGGTGCCTATGAGCTCTATTACTATCACATGGAAATCACAAAAAAAAAAAATCAGAGCATAGCTTCACACAGTGGCATCTATTTAAAACTGAATATTAGCATGGTAAACACAAGAATACATAAATGGAAGAATTCAAGTTTATCTCATAAGGTACAGTATGCATTCACATTTTCATTACAGAGAGAGACACTGTATTCACATTCTGTTGAAGAAAGAAACCCACATATCACACATCTCCCTAAACTCTTAGCAAAGATAACATCCATGAAATACCTATAATGCACATTCTGGCTCTTTCATTTCAGCTGAGCTAAACTGATTGCTGAAAGGAAAAATCCTTTGATGAGTAATTCAAGCCCCATTGCTGAGCTGTTACCACAAAAACTTCAGTACGGGTCTGCTCTGTCATACAGCCTGACAGTTGTTATCAAGAGTTTTATGTGGGCAACTATCAGTGTTCAGTGTCTCTTCCCCTTTTTTGGTTTGGGATTTTATTTTATTATTTATATTAATCAAGGATGATGTTTTACATCAGGCATCTGAGAAATGTTCTGGTGACAAAATGTACAGGACATGCATTAGATGCACATGTGTCACCACAGAAATGTCCTCACAACTGAATTCTTTGTTTGGGCAACAGAAAAATAAACAGCAAACAGCAAGAAGAAGCATTTGGCATGATTTTAGTTCTTAGTACCATACTGCAAATACATAAATGGAAGTGTTAATAATATTTTTCCTTCTAATGCAGGAATAAAGATCAACAGGAGAAGCTGTGAGGTGAGGGTGATCCCACTAACCAGCTTAGGTAACTTTTGGCATCAGACTAAGATGTAATTTAGAACATCTATGTTAAGAGGCTGTGATTCCTACTGAGGCCAAGAGAGAGAAAGCAGGTGTGGTTTTAGAGCACCTCAATTTTGTGCCTGAAGTCAGACAGTTTGAATACAACAACTGAAGGAATTCAGGTCCCTCAGCTGCTCCCTTGCTTTCTGTATACCAAAATGCAGCCCTGAAACCAAAGAAATCTAAATGGCAAAAGGTGAAAACCCAACCTCTCTGTCTATACAGCTGTTTCTCAGCTCTGAAATCCCAACTCCTCCTCTCCCTCCCCTAGGGATCAGGGGAATTCATTGTCACTCATTCTATGGCTTTCAAGGACACAGGGTAACAGCACTGTCACCAGAAATGGTTCTTTTTTCTGGAGAAATCTTAAAAAGAGGAGTCTCCCTTCTTACCCTCTGGATCTACAGCTCCTGCTGACTGTCCCATGTAGCTCAAAAGAGGTTGCTCAGACTCAAAGCAGATCCCTCAGTTTTTCCTCTCTCCTGGCACCTACTCAAGGAGGGAGTGAGTTTAGGATAGTCCCTCATGGCTTGGGATACTGTGGAGTGAACAGTGAAGAAGGAGAAGTGAAGAAAAAGACTCAAGTAAGAACTGAGGCAAGAAGGTAAAATCACTTGGGATTAAATGAGAAAAGTTCTCATCATGCCTTGATGAGCAAACTAGAAATGGGAGTCTGAGGAAGGAGACAGGTGAGAGGTGAGAGAGGGTGGGGGAAGAAAAAAACCAAAACCAACACTATAGAAATATTTAACAATAAATAAAATTGAAATTCTACACCCTAACTCTCCCAGTGTAGCTGGATGCTCTGGCTCCCTAGCAAGAGGAGGGAAGAGGGACTGAAGGACATGGATGGGGGTCAGGGACAAATGGACAAATCAGGATGGGGGGGGCTATTTCAGCTTTGACAGTTCCCACAGCTGCACAGGTTTTTAACAGAGCACAGCTTGCCTTTAGGAGCTCACAGCTCAATACTGCAGGGCCACTTTTTGGCACAAAATCTCTATTTAATGTCAGGTTATTTTGAAATGTGTGATACTTTATCAAATATTTAAAAAGCACCAAGGGAAGGCAGAAAAAGATTCCCCACTGCAACATTTACATCCTGAGAGCCCGATCACCTGGCTCAGGTTTATATGATGGTGCATGGGAATGGAAGAGACAAAGAGGGAACATTAGGATCACCCTTTGGGACAGGAGAGCCATAAATAGGAAACCCCCCCACTTGCTGTTTGGCTGGCAGAAGAACTTCCTTTGGGCCATGTTCTTTGCACATACAATATATTCACTCATCACTGCTCTCTTCCCCATGACACCTCATGTCATCACAACAAACAGAGCACCCACAAAGCATCAGCAGCTGCCAGGAGGTTTTCCTCTCATTACCACTGAGATGCAGTGTGAGATGTGCCAGAGAGAACCTACAAGTGTGAGTACTTGTGTTTCCTCCCTTATGACTGCACAAAACAGGTTTCCAAAGGGTATCCCAGTGGGCATCTGGTTAATTCTGTTTGCTTTCCTGCACACCACATTGCCCAAGCCCCCTCACTCATTTCCTACTGTACCTCAGCAACACACCACAAGTGGTTCAGGAAAGGTGGAGGAGATGTCTAGGAAGCTGATAACATGTTCAGACTATTTGTGAGTCTCTGGAGAGTTCCCACTGCTGCCTCTGTTTGGGAATTGCTCCCATCCTTAGTTTACAAATGATTTAACAAGAAGCATGTTAATACAATGGTGTGTGCTTCACTTTGCAGTGGCAAAAAAAAAAAAAAAGCCATGACTCAGTGGGTAAACATGTTGAGGAATTTGCTACAAAAATTATATTTGTCTTAACTGAATACCACTGTGAATATTCATGCCACCAAAAAAATATAAGATGGTTATTGTTCCAAGGAAAACTGTCCCAAGGGCAGATAAAGAAAAAATTACAATCTTCCAGGAAAAAATAGTTTCCCTTATTCATGGGCATAATCTAGGAATAGCTGTCCTTCAACTTCTTCTAGCACCCTTTTCTTTTGAATTTTGCTAGTAAGTGGCCTCCAAATGAAGAGAAAACAGAAAGGAGAAACAAATTTTAAGATGTAAACAAAGAGATTTAACTCCCCCATACTTTACATTTCTTTTGCATCTCTGCATTTGATTTTTGTGGTCCAGAGGCTTCCTAGGATCTGGCCTTTTAAAAAAACTCCTCTGCCATTCTCACCACATTGAAAGTCATCAGGTCTTAGCAGGAAACTGGAACCTGAATTGCAGGAGACAATTTGTGTGGCTGCACTACTCTCTCCTTCTGTCATTCAAGTTTCCCAGGCAGTCATTGCCCTTGGATGCTCCCATCAGAGGAAGCTTTTCCAAAGCTGGTCCCTGGTGTCTGAAATGGATTCCAGCCACAACTCTGCCCAGCAGCAGCAGCACTGTGATGTGGCCAGGACAGTGGGCACAATCCACTGCCCAGTGTCCCAGCTAAGCTTCCCTACCACACAAGGCTCATGAGCCTACTGAGTTTTCTTCAGTCCCCCTAATACTTTGCACCACTGAAAGTAGGAGACTGAGGAAGGAAAAACACATGTAGAGCAAGGAAGCAAGAGAAAAGAAGACAGAAGGGAACAGTGTAAAGACAACAGAGGTGCTTGAAATACTGAGAATTAGCCAGGTTTCATGAAATTTTCACATAGATATGTTAAATCACTAAAGCTAAGGGTTAGCCATTATAATTGTCTTCTGCTAGCCCATGGGACTAACTTACTTCAGAGTTATGTGCTCCCAACAAACCCTACATCCACCTTAAATACCATCTGCAAGGACATAATAAAAATCACAATGCAAAAAATCTGTAAACAAGGGTTAGTAGCACAGTGGTACAGTAGATTGTCAATAAAAACAATAAAAGTGTGGATACAGATTCGTCTACCTTGTGTGTAACATTATTGCCAGTTACAAGGGAGGGACTCTGTAAACTCATCATTCTGAAGCTTTGTTAATAAGCACAGAGCAACAGGTGAGTGACCCATCTACTTTGGCCAGTTCTGTGGCAGCTATTGGGATCAGCATGTGGTCCTTCAGCTTTTCAAATACCTGTTCAGGGAAAAAAAAAGTAAGGGAAAAATCATTACATTTACACCTCTGTTTTCCCCTTTCTCTAAGTATTTACAGAACATGGATTTGCCAGCAGGTGCCAAGCCATCCCAACACTGCTAATCAACAGGAACATCCACGGTGCACGTGTATCATTATAGGACACGAAACAACACGAGCACACACCGCTGCTCTCAAGGTGAAGAAAAAAGGGAAGTTTATTTTCTTCCTTTTCTATGTTGCCAACATTTATAGTTTTCCAAAAGTGACAGTGGATTGCAGGGTGAGAGTGCCACCTCTCCAATGACACTGGACAAACCAACAGTCCATCAAATTTCTCCTCCTCCATAAAAGAATGCAAAACAATAAGTTATTTACAGGAAGTGTGTGAGAAAGTTTGCTACAAGAATGTAAACACCAGAACATTAAAAAATCTTTAAAAATCAGGGCGATACACGTGGCCTTGTGGCTGTGGCACCCAGCGCCATCCCTGCAGCAGGGAGCTGCTGGGCCTGGCTGCAGCCAGGGCTGGCTCTCACCTTGGCACTCTCTGGGTACTCCTCGGGGGCGCGGTGCAGCAGCACGTGGCCCTTGCTGGGGATGTTCAGGTAGATGCAGTTTGCTGCGGCATCGTCAGGCACTGTCAGCTTGTCGTAGCGGTGGTCGCTCATCTGTTGCATGGTCTGCCAGGAGACAGAGTGCAGCTATTTAGATCAAACACATGAGCAGTCCCCAAGTAATGGGAGAACAGAATCTTCAGAAATAGATAATTGTGATTGCCAAGGCAGTCAAGAGCCATTTTGCTATGCAGCAAGTACAGATATTTCCTTTTATCTCTGCCTTTATGGAAGAATCTACTAAACTTAACTGAAAAGAGCCATAGAAAACCTTTGTGCAATGGCTCTTGCAAGCAGCAGGATTAAGCAGGGCACTTGGTAAGCATCCTCTGTGGGGTCTTTTCCTCAAGGATTGCACACTGAGTATGCAAAACTGCTCCTGACACTGATTGAGACTATAGGTGCTCAGCACCTATAAAAAAAAAAAAGCAACCATTGTTCAGTATTTATGTAATGAGTATGAATCAAACCAAAGAGGACAGGAATGGTTCCCAGCTTGGATATCAGCCCAATCTTAATTCTTTTCAAGGACCTCTGTTCTGCCTTGCAGGCAGTTACTCTTTCACTAAGCACCTGTGCTGGGGAGTGAGCAGGCACGTCTGTGCTAATCCTCGTTCCCAGGGGGACAGCACAATGCCTGCCTTGCAACAGGAGAGCTGCTGGCCTCCAGAGGTTTGGGTATAAATACACAAATGTAGACACTGCTGGCTGGAATTTCAGAGACAGAGACTCTCAGGACACGACAAGCATGCAATCCCATGTTTTGGATCAGATCCATGTTAGTAAGGATGGGAAAAGCCTGAAGACAAGATGCCTGATTCCCAGTTGTAGCATTCCAGCTTTACATCAGCTTCAGCCTCACAGAGACCAAGAATAACACAGAACTGAACAAGACTCAAAGTCCAAAACTTTGGTCCTACTGAAAGCCTAAGCAAACTGCAAATGTTTCCATTTCTCCTCCAGCCCACCTGTGTTCCCACATACATTGCACATACATGCAAAGATGCAAAAAGAAAGAAAAGGCTTTTTTTCAGCTTAAAATATTCACACTAATATTATCTTTAGAAAAACCTGGTCTTTTGTTAACAACATTTTTCAACTAAATTCCCTTCTCAGGGAGAACCCAGTGATTTATATCACACAGCAGAAAGCAGACTTCAATTTTAGGCACAGTTAAGTTTGTCATTAAATTGCTTCCAAGGTCACTCATCTGTACTAATTCTCATTCATTAAAGAAATACTACTAAGGAAATGTAGCTGATTCATAACAGGGTCTACAAAACATACTGGGAAGCAACAAAGAACTCATGCTTGCCCACACCTATGGTAAGTAATTCCTTTATAGGTCCACATTTTTCATGTTCTAGCCTGAGTCATCCACATCCTGTGGAGAACATGAAACTCTCAACAAAGAATGCCATGCATTCTTGAGGAAGTGTTATCAGATTGTCATTTCTTGTTCCTTCTCATGTTATGAAACTCTCCCAAGTTCCCAAGGACCCATCTACCTCCTTAAAAGGTTAATGTGTTTCTCTGGGCAAAAATCCTTGCACCTTTACTTCACCAGATGTGATTTTGTATTTTTGTATGCTTTGCACAGTTGATCTTCTTTTTTATAATTTTGTTTCTGTTATGTTGCCAAGATGAGTTTTATTCTGCTTTCCTGGATGTTGCAGATGTCCTGCACCTAGTGTGGCTCTTCCACCTGGTACCCAGAGTCAGCAGACATGTCCTCCACCAGCAGCTTCCCTTTTCCTTCCTATACAATGTTTTTAAGTCTTGACTAAGGAAACATTTTTTAAATCTGCACTAAAATACATGTATCAGTAGAAGAAAAGCCACTATGTCTGGATTTCACTAAGTTTCCAAGCAGTTGTTCTTTCTCCACTCCTTGTTGGAAACAGAATTCTAATATTGTAGGTTTTCAGTAGGAACATCAGAAATACATTGTGAATCACTGTGAAATGCTTCCCTATTAAATGATGAAAGAATTCCTAAGCAGAACGGTAAAAACAAATCTCCCATTCATTTGCTTCTGCAAAGTGCTGAAGTGGGAAGTACACCAGCAAGCAGATAAAGGACAAGTGGCAGGGCCCTAGTGCCTCAAGGACCAGCTTTGGGGAGCCTGGGAGATGATGCCAAGGGCACATTAAAAGGATTGTTTTCAGTATAATAAAGCACACAAACGGTGGCTAAATTAGTTCAGAAACAAATCAGAAAACCTGAGTGAGAAAGTGAGACAAAGCAGCACAAGAGTTTGAGGTCACAGCTTGCTAGTGGGACAGGGATCTCAGCTAGCTGGAACAACACCACAAGAAAGCTTTTATTACTAACTGAAGGTTTGACAACACAAGATTACTCTCTTCCTCAGCTCTTAAGATAAAAAGGAAATCATATTTGCAAGCTTTCATCGCTGTTGTAACTATGCCTGACTGTTGCAGTAAAATTTCAAAAACCACTTAATTGAGAGAGTGCCCAGGCAATAACACCCCAAACCTGCCCCACAGGGAGGCTCTGGATGCAGCAGAAATGCACCAATACGACACAATCAGGGCACTTTGCAGACCCATGTGGTTTTCTGTATTTCTATTATGTGAAGTCATTAAGTACATGTGCCTAGCCAGATTGACTCCAGGGCAGAGAAAAGGAGATAAAAGCAAGGTCCTTTGATTGTATTTTCTATCAGATACATCCCAAAATATGATGCATTTATATAGAGAGGGCTGGCTTTCTGTGCACAAACGTTGTACAACCGGCTATGTTAAGAGCCAGGCATTTCCCATGTGCCTTGTTTTTCTGGGAATTTTCCTCAGCTTAAAGAGGGTAATTTTCACTGCACATTCTCTCAGCCCTTAGTCATGCTTTCCTTATGTTGAAGTCATCCATATAGCCTAAAATGCCTTCTCTATAGTTTTTTACAGTGTGTCCTCAGACAACTGAGGTAATGGATAAGCTAAATAATCCTAACTATGAAGCAGCATTATACATGAAGGAAAAAGTGTATGTGTTTTGGGTCCATTATCTCTGACAGAACTAAGATGACTGCATGCACTTTTAGAAGAGGCCAAGCCTAGCTACAAATGTTCCCCCCTCCATGAGGAAGGCCCCAGTCTGAGCCCTGCTGCCTACTCACATCCAGATTGCTGCAGGACAGAGAGTGACCAAACCCACCTGCAATGCACATTTTTATCCCCAACTCCCCACAAGCAAAACCAAACATACACTGAATGTTCCTCTTCCTAACAGGGCATTGAGCATCACACTTAAATTGCCTGTGTGATGCTGATGGAGAAGCCCAGATTTCCAGGGTTTGATGTTTGTATTGATTAGCCACTGTTTTCCTGACTGCCAACACTTAAAAGAAAAATCAAACCTAAGCTCAAATGGAGTTACACCCATGGGATCATTCCCTCACCAGCTTTCAGCTATCCTTTCTTAAATCCTTCAAGTCAAAGTATTCTTTTAAGAAAACTAGTCATGTCAAACTAAGATAATTCTTCTATCCCACCTCTTTTCTTTCTTTCCAAGCACATTAAACTTTAGCCCGTTTGACACTGAAGCTTAAGCAACCTTTGCCCTGGGATCCAAGAGAATGAAAGGTGTGAGAAAAGATTACACTATGTCAAGGTTTCACCTATAATGACAAAAACGAAGTATTTTTATGGTGCAGGGCAACTAAAACTGCTGAGAAGAATAACAGCAATAGACTGGATGGGAGTTTGGAAGGTCAACATGTTTCTTTTCTCCTTGGAGGAAAGACCACTTGTCTGGGAACAATGTCAGGCTATACCATTATGCAGCAAAGGAAAAAGATGAGGAGAGGCACCTGACCAGCCCACTGCCATCTGGAGGGACAGCTGAGAAAGGTAAATTAGTGCTTGCTACCTGGAAAATACTGCTGATTGCCAAATCTCCTTTTTAAAAATTCTCACAACACCCAGAAGAGCTTCTTTTTTAGTGCTGCATGGTATGGTGTGTCTCCAGTCTCAGGTGAGAGGTGATGGAACCCACTTTTGCATCCCAAGATAGGGAGTGGAGGTGACCATGATCTGGTGCATGGTTTCCCAACTCATCAGCTGTCATACAGAGTGATACCAGGTGCACATCATTTTACACTGAAACCAAAATTCATTCACTGATTTATTGCCCTGACTGTCCTTTGAGTTTCTTCCTAATTTCTTCATATTTAGAGAAACAACTGGCACTGGAGAGAGAAAGCAGCAGCCTTTGGGTTCAACGCAAGCAAGTGCAGGACAGAGTGGAGCTGTTGAGCTGTGCCACAATGCCGTGTGCCTTGTACAGGACTCAGCAGCTTCTCAGAGTTTCCTTAAACAAAGCAGTGACCATGAAACCCTTGGCTAGGCTGGCCAGAGGGGACAGAAGAGCAGAGCTGGAAAAGCCAGCGACCTTGCTGGAATGTCAAGATCTATCAGGAGTGTCCCCCCTGACATGCAGGCAGGCAGAAGAGACAACAGCATAGTAGACTCAGTAGGAAGGGGCCATCACAGCCACTGTGAGCAGCATAAATCAAAGGAGAATGATCTAAGCCTTCTTGTCAGGCACCGAGAAGTCTGATAGGGATCCAGGACAGGACAGCCCAGACCTACAGACACAAACCACACTGAGGATCTGTGAAGCCAGCAGTGCCCTGGTCTGCCATACTCAGCATGCCAAATTTCTTAGTCCATCCACAGCCAGAGTGTTGCTTTAATTTCCGCCTAACACCCACAGTCCCAGCAGCTGGGCTTTGGCTTTGCCTCCCTGCTGCACCCTCTCAGTCATGTTTTCCAGAAGGAAGAGCTCTTTTAAGCAGCCTCTCCCACCCTGCTCCTCGGCTTTTCCTGGCACAGGACACCTTTTGCATCACCACAGATGCGATGGGCACTGAGTGTCATTCGTGTGCACACCTGCCCCGCTGTGCCCCTCTGAGCCACCATCCCTCATGGCCACGCTGTCCCCTGCCTGCCAGCTCTGCCAAGGACCATGCAAAGGGAAACCACGGCCTGAGAAGGAGCAAAGGAAGCCAATTACGTGAGCTGTTGTTTTCAGTGGAGAAGGCAGGAGCACGAACATCCTGTCGTTTGGAACAGGAACCCAGGGAGAGAATGGTCAAAGGGGAAAAAAAGAAGCAAAGATCAGAAACATGAGTCCCCATTTACGCAAAGCACATGACATCTTCTCAATCACCCTCCGACCCAGCTCCTGTGCCTGACAGCCTTACTGGTGAGGAAAAACATGTACTGAAAGGGACACTTTCCTCACCCTTTAAAAACCAACCAACAAACAAAACTGATTCATAAATAATCTCTAGTATATAAATATATACTTTTGAGTCTTTATCTTCCAAAGATTCTTCTGCACATATGCAAACTGAACAGAACTAACACTCAGATAAGTGCAGTGGCTATAACACCATCTAAAATTAATTCAAAGTAAAACACAATGAGTTGACTTTTTAAGGTAGGAGGTCATCTGGCACTCAATGAAGACATACATCCTCTGAGATGGTATGGACCCCTAATTGATAAAGTAATGAAGAATCAGAAGGAGATAAAGGAAAGTACATAGAATTTTATAAGTTGATTCATGTATTGATTGATTATAAATTGATTAATTTTCCTATCTACAAGGCTGAGAGAAGCAAAGTCTCATTTTTTAATGTTTAGCTTAAAGGGGAAAGTTCTCAACACTTCTTTGTATTTCACTAACATTTCTTTGTTCCCACATTACAAAAAAAGTCAGCATTCATCTTCACTTTCTGCTAATTCCCTACCTGATGTCATCTTCTTTGGGTTATTAATATTAGCAATGATTTCCACAGCAACCCATTGTGATAGCATAAATAGAGGATTATGACTTCATGTGGGGAATAAGCAGAGGCACAAATGATGAATTCTTAAGGAAGAAGAGATAATGTTTTCATGCAAACTTGTGCATTACTAGAAAAGACAGTTGCTATACAGACAATAGGAAAAGCAGATTTAGCTGGGCCTTTTCCTGCTGCATGGCAGTACAGACTGTTTTCTAAGAACACCAGAGAGATGAAGTTCTCCCTTAGGTGTCTGGAGGCATTTCTGTGGCAGAGCTGGGAACCCCTCTGCTCTATCCAGCCACTATAACCCTCCTGTCATGCAGAGAAACACTACTCAGCTCTTCAAAAGCTGGCACATTGCAGAGACTTCAGTTACACAAGATGGAGTAAGAACAAAAGGCATTTAATCAAAGGAATGGGGGCAACTGCCAATGCGAGAACAACTCCTTGTGCTCGAGTGTTTAAAAGCTCTGCTCTGATCACAGCTTGGACACAGACCAAGGGCATAGTTACCCAAAAGAGACTCCTTTCTATATTATCCTTAAGATGTGGTTTTGATAAGCCTCCCTTGATCACTGTCAAAACAGGTGCATTATCAATAGCGTCCCCCAGGGAATAATTTAGGGGAAGAATGAGCAGCTCCACTTCCAACAGAAAATACTGAATGAGAGAGTCAAGAAGAAGGCAGGACAATCATGTCCTGAAAGCAGGAGGAAAAAGAGAGGTATATTGCTAAAGTCATGGCATTGCCCTACTGCAGATATTCCAACAGAGTCCTGACCATAAAGAAATCCCATTGAATAATGAGGCTGGACTCCAAGATACCAAGGACCAGCAAAGTGCAGATGTGACCACTGCTCTGGGTCCTGCTGGGACAAGTCTGTGAGGGGACATGAGGGGTTACACTATCAGCTGCATCACCTACTCTGCCTTGCACCTTGACTGGCAATGCTGCTCAGTCCTGACATCTGCCACGGCCACACTGCCTCTGAATTAGCATACCCTCCTCTCAAGTGACCAGCTGAAATCCCAGATGTTTCACATGCCACTCCAGTATTCCAGATCTCAGAGGAAATATGCCAGACTCAGCTGACTGCAGGACTGAGCCCAGGCCATATGGAGGGATGAGTGCCCTCCCTGCCAAGATCCATCAGTGATCCCCCCTCACCCTGCATTACCCCAGAGCAGTGCATGCACACCAAGGCTTTCCCTGCCAGTCCTGTGGGGACACCCCAGGGCTGCTCCTTTGGTCAATGCCTGCTATCAGAGCCTACCCAAGGGACAGACTCATTTCTCAACAGTGAGATGACAACCTTTTTAGTAGGAACTTGCTACAGATACGATCCACACTGCTTGCAAGGGAATAGTTGAGCTTGTCAAAGCCAGGAACAACATGTGACCCTCAGATGCTTTGGGATTACTAATGAGTTATCCAAAGGGTGACAGAGATGGTCTGATCAAGGACTGTGTCCACAATCATCTGCTGCTGTCCAATCTTCACTCATCACAAAGTGGAGGGAAATTGTGCTCTGTATCAACCAATACAAACAGCCACAAATGTGCCTCTTCTGGATTTGGTATAGAGCAAGAGAATACAGAAAGGAGTGTGCAACAGATGCTGTGTCACAGCTCCCATTGTCACCTTGCCTAGCTTTTGCATTTGCTGCTGGAACCTGAACTGGATTATGTCCTGGGCCAGTTCCTGCTATTCTGCTGTCCCAACAAGACCCCAGGGCTGTGTCCCCTGTTGGGGAAAAAGTGGTGCAGGGTGCTCATCTGCAGCACTGCCACATCAATGCCCTGCACTGGGACTGGCACTGTCACAGCCCAAATCTGTCCTCATTCATGTCCACAGTAAAGGCAGCAGCTCTGGCAGTGCCTGATCAGGGCCCAAAGGTGACATGTTTACAGGAAATCCTGGCTACACTGAGGGACCTGAAAAATAATCCCAGGCTTCATCCTCTCAACAGCCATGGCTGATGTTCAAATGTGCAATGACGTGTATGGAATTATAAACAGGTTTAACTACAAGAAGGAATTAAATGCATGCTGAAAACAGCAGAGGGAAGTTAAAGTTTCAGATGTGATAGTCACCAGAGGCTCTGGTACTTTCTGCACTTCATCTGTCTCTTTCTTTCACCAAGTTTCCTCAAGTGCCACTTTTCAGCTGCAGTCCAAATAAATACTCTACACTTGCCAAAACCTGAAGAGGATTTAATGGTTAAAATGTCATTTCTGATTTATTATCTGCTTCTAGCATGTGGTCTATTATCCTAAACTCTGTGGATTCATTTCCCAGCTCACTTGCAGAGCTTTACATTACACATACTGCACTGAACTCAAGATCAATTGCACTTGGCCATATGTGAGCACCAGATGCAATTTCTTTTTCTATTTTTAAAGTACTGTAAGGATACATAAGTTGCAGCAGTAAGAACAATCAAGAAAAATCTCTATTTCAAACAAGAATGTAAGCAGATAAATCCTGTTTTAAATGTAAAATGTTAGAGTAGCACGATGTAGCAGTTCACTAGAAGCAGTTGCCTAACATGACATGTGAAAACAACTCAGTTACCAGAGATGGTTAAAGACAGCTCAGTCATCTTGCTTGTATGATTGCATTTCCAGTCACAAAAAATGGCAACATGAAGGAGGAGTTTAAAATAACAAGCTATTACAATAAAGGAGTGGCATGCTGGGCTGTGCCAGGCAACAGACTCAGCAGGACTGTACTGCCACAGACTCTGCTGGGTAACAGGAGAACAGCTGACAGCACTGCTACAGCTCAGCTCATCTGCTGAAATCCAGGGAGCAGCTTTTATTCAAGTGTCAGTTCCTCCAAGATCCTCTTGCACTTGCATTTCCACAAGACTGCAAGCAGCTGATTGCAAATTTTTTTTTGCTTTGGTGGCAAGTAAACAAGTACAAATACATTGTCAGAAAGCAAGAATTCAAATGTTAGGGGAAGCTGGTGATCAGCAGCACTGCAAATGCCATCATTTCCAAGACAGAAAATTTACCCATTTGTTTGCCAATAGTTTCTCATAGGAGATTTAGACTCCTGGACAAACAGCCAGATCCAACTCACTGGAACATGTTCTGGGTAACTCCATATGTTGCTGTAACATGGCTGCCTGATATAACCTGTCAGCTCTCTGGGAGCATAAGAAGAGCACATGCCATGGGACAAAACCCTGCTCCAGCCCAGACTCCCTAACCTCAGCTGGCAGGGTGTGAGCAAACGTTGTCCTCAGACACATGCAAATGTGCTGCTAAATGTCCAGTGCAGAGAAACATACTGAAAGCTGACAGTTGATTTATTTTTAAAAATATATCCACCAACAATCAGAGACTGCTAGATTATCTTGTTAATTATCATGTCCTTTTAAAAATGTATCTGCTTATTACTTTACCTTGATTAATGCTGGTGTTTACTTGATGATTATTTACCAGCAATATTTGATCAGGTTGGACAAAAAAGGCTTTTGGTTACAACAGCTAACATGATTAGCTGAGCAGTGCAGAAGGGTTTAATCAAACTGATGAGTTCTCAGATTAGCCCTGGCTCAAATTCAAATTGCAGCACTGAGTAACCAGTATTGTAGTTGAATTTTGCTCATGTTTATAAACACTCTATACAAGTGTAGGGACTTTTCCTCCTTCTTTCAGAATGGAACCTTTACTTCCCCTCTGTGAATTCTAGAAGACAAGTTTCCTCATGGCAACATCTGAAGTAAATATCTCCACTGGTCTGACTATATCTCCTTCCCCCCTTTTAACACCAAATTATCAGATTTTTAGTCTAAAAAGCTGTAAATAATAACCTGCATATTCTGTTTATTTCCTTAAGATAAATGAAGTTAAATCAACATCACCATTCTCTTGCCTGATATAGACATTCTTTTTGGTTTGCACATACAGGAGACTCAAACACAAAGTCATTGTTTCCTCTTTCACTGATCTATATGTATTTTAAAATTCCAGCATCCTTAAGCAGATATTTTAAAAAGAGCAGAAAGAGATATGCTGTTTAGAATATTTTCTTATGTGCTTTACCTTGAGGGCTTTCTGTGCAGCTTCACTTGATCCGATAGCAATCAGGTTTGGTCCAGCCATGCTGCAAAAGCTCTTCAGATGCAAAGAATCATGAACCGGGACTGTGGAGACAGCATAATCCTGTATGGGAGTAAAGAAGGGTGCTATAAATATTTTTTAAGTGTCCTAGTTCCATAATTATAAGGAGGCATTCCATAATTAATTTTACTCTCTGCAAATTATCAACCCCGGGGCACAGTGTCAACTGTTTAAGTATGACATTGTCCTCTGGACCAGCTTGTCTTGTCTGGAGACTGGCATAAAATCCAGAACATGGTTCAAATACTACTATTGTTGCAACCACAAAGAAATACATTAAAATGCTTAATTAAAGAGTAGGTACATAAAACCTCTCCAGGAACCAGCAATAAGAACACAGGGCTGATACATGAGGACATGAAGAACGTGAGTGTTTATGTGCTCTCAAAAAATAACAGCCTCCCACTATCCAACTGATTGTTATGCAGTAATCTCACATTTCAGATCCAACTTCAGCATCTACCACTTTACAGGATGCTCAAACCTTTCAGCAACTTGTACCTTTGGGGTTTTTTTAATTAGGTCTTAAATAAAGTACATGAGTATGACAAACATCTTAGCCAGTACAATTGTTGAATTAGTTCAGTGAATGACAGCTTCTATTTCCTGTGGCATGCAGGAATCTACAAACCTTAAATGTGTCAGCCAGAATTTCTGCACCACGTTGATTTGTCCGCCTGGAGAGACCTACGAAAAATTCTCTGCCTGGAATGAAAAAGCAGACTAGCTTTAGAGACATTTTCAAGCAATCTTTCAAGAATTTTCATGTTATATGTTTCTTTTCTCAAGCTGAGTATTTAAACTGAAAATTCAGCATAAAAGAATGCAACCTGCAATTGTGAGCTGATAATCTAAAGCAATTAATCCTTTGCCAGAAGAGATATTTAACCAGAAGCATAAATAGCTTCCTCTTCTAAATCTCTCCAGTGGTCATTGGGTCAGGAAAGACAACAGCTGGGCTGGATTAGTACACCACTGATTAACCATTTCCCTCTCCCTTTGAGATTTCCTCTGGTCTCAAGGCAGATCTGCAGTCATCAGCATCCTCCAGCACCAGAGAAAATCAGTGCTGGATCTGCACCGCCTGAGGAAGGCCTCCCTTCCTGGTCTGCCTCTGTAGCAGACCCTTCTTTCCCTGTGGTGCTCTAAGGCAGGCAGCCAGCCTCCTGTGATGCTGATCAAAACCAACAGGCTCATTCAGCACGGGCAGGGAGCAGCCCTGTGTGCAGCCAATGGGAGAAAATGCCTAATGGGTTTAATGACATAAAAAACACAGGCAGTATCTTCATCTTGGAAGTCAACCATGCATGTAAGGCTCATGACATCTGACAGGCAACTCCACCACATCCTTGATTAAGTAAAAATTTCTTTTTTTGCATTTAATTCATTGAACTAGTGACAACTGTCTGCATCAAGCTTTTGCAAGTCCTGAAAATGAGTCTGGTGAACGTTATCTGCTTGTAATAAGAAATATGAAACAACCCCTGACAGCTGACTACTGAAAGCATTTTTCTTATTGGCACTTTACAAGCTAAAATAAAATCTGTATGCACAGAGTTGTTCTTTGTAGTGTGTGTACTGCTACTCCATTTATTCAGGTATTAGGCAGGACATAGAGGGCTGCACTGAGAACTCATCTCTCAGCAACCTTCCTGACATTTAGCAAACAACAGATTCAGCAAACCACAGCAATGACATTTTATTGTGCTGCTATCAGACAATGTGCAGTCTTTAAGGCAGTCAGAACATGTAAACAGCAAATTCACTACCTGTGATTATTATACCTGTAAATAAGACATCTCCACCATCCAAGGTTGCATTTTCATCCACCATCTCAACTATATTAAGGTTGAGACTTTCCAGTGCTCTCTTCATGGCTTCAACCTGTTTAAAAGAAAGTTATTAAGGACATATTGTACTGTCGAAAATTTTTTTTAAAATCTGCCAGAAATACATATAATTAATAAGAATTAAAGCCTTTTAATGCACCTTTAGCAGGATGGATGGCAGGGTCCTTTGTGGCCCTGCCCATCACAGTTCCCCACCTGAGGCCTCTGTGGTCTGGGGGATGGGTTGGCAAGGGACAGAGATCAGGCTCTTGTCTTTGCAGAGGAGCCATGCAGCATTCAGGAGGCACAGACAAGGGCTCCAAAGCACATGTTTAGTCCAGTCCCTCTGCACAGTAATATCCTCTTGCAAACCCTGTCCCTCAGATTTGGGCCAGAAAAAGCAGCAGCAGAGGAGTGAGGTTCATTCCTTCCACTCTGCTCAGACACAAGAGATGGCTCTGCCAGCCATGGAGGTGGCAGCTCTACCCCAGGTTCCTCTTCAGCCCAAAGGAAAAAAAAAATCCCTAGTCAGTAAATGTTCAAATTCCTTATGGCTTTGCAATTTTACTAGGCACTAGTTCTCCTTGCATGTTTGAGCTACCCTGTTTCAGAATTACAAGACATTTCATGCCTATACAATGTGGGGCTTACTGCTTGCTGTGGAGAGTCACACACATGGCTGGAAGTCAGAGCCTGTTTCCTGCTGAGAGAAGTTTTTATCAGAAGCAAGGAATGCAGCTTCAGTAGGTTCCTTCTTTCCCACTGAGGGCTGCAGAGAATGCCTAAAGCACAATCTGTTTCTATAGAGGCTCATATCACTTGCCATCCAGAACAGGGGCTATGTTCAAACAGCATCACTGGGGTGCCTTGTAAGGCAAAAGAAGAACCTACACACAACCAACCACTCACCAAAAGCATAAACCTGTAACTTGCAGAATGTCAATAAAAATAAGAGCTCATCCACAGAAACCTGTGAACTTGATCCCACACAGGGGTATCTGCATGTTCAGTGAAACTTCTTCACCACGGCTAACTAGAGGTGCTCAGAAAGCATTAATAAACATGGCAAACACAGTGAACTCCTATTCTGCATGTCCCACAGGTCACTCATCTATTTAAAGTGCTAAATTAAGCATTTCTAGAAAAAACCACATGGAGCTAAAACAAGTGACACCATACTAGTCTTGCAGCCCTGTACAACAACAGAGGCAGTCCTAGCAGCCCTGCTCCTGGGCTCTGCCAAACTACACCTGCACAGCAGGAAGGGCATGTGATGGTGACAGGTCCTTCACTCTCACTGTGGCAGCCTCAGCACAAGAGCAGCACACAGCTGGGCTGACACACCTTCCTAAGAGCAGTGCTGGCTTTAGGGAATAAGGAAAGAGCCAGACATGATCCACCTAAGCTACCTTTTCCTGCCCATTTTCCATGACCTGGCAATGAGGCATTTGTGAGTGATCCCATTAACGCTGAGCCAGGCTCAAAAGGCAAGGGCAGGTCCCCATGGGCTGTCAGGACAGGTGATGTGGGTCTGTGTGGGATACACTGGAGGCAGCACTTTATCCAAGCCTCATCTGCTCTCTGGAGGTTTCTCTTCTTCTGTAGCATCTTCTCACTCTCCAGCCACTGGAGAGAAAAAACCCTGGACTGTTAAGCACACTGTTAAAGTAGGTGCCTCGGTTAAAACTTGTGAAGGACAGAGGCAGATCTTTGTGCCACCTGCAGAACTCTGATGAGTTACAGTGCAACTCAGAACTGTATCCAGGGGGTTTCTGATAGCAAGGGATTCACAGAGAACCATCTAAGGCCTTGGCAGGCAGCCAGGAATGAGCCATTTACAGCATGCCATTTACAATTAACACTTCTTTTTTGCTCCTCTGTCTTTCAACTGATGTTAAAATGACTTCAGGCTTAGCAGAAAGGCTTCATCTTTCTTAGTCTTGTTTAACCTCCAGCATTCTTTAAAATTAAGTTTATAATGTGGATTGGACCCACGTGGTGTTTTACAAATAAATGGGGAACAGCTGAGGTAATATTGGAAAACTGCTGTTGTACAAACATGGCAACATTTCATAACATCCCTGTGCTGAGAGCAGAATGATTTCTTTTGTCTGTGAAGCCCAGTGGGTTTTACTGTGCAGGTGCTCCATGTATAAGAGTCAATAGAACCCAAAGAAGAAAACAATTGTTTAATATGGAGTAATGGAGATGCAGCATGATAAAAGCAGGGTTCCATTCCAAGAATACAGATTCACTCTTTTGTGCTGACATGAGGCAGACAGGCAAACTCCCCATTGGGACACCAGTCACAGGCAGTTAGAATAAATAAATAAAACCATCAGATGGGAGTATTTAAGGCAGAAGGCCAAATGACAAGAAAAAACAGCTTCACCCAGCCTGTTGCACGGTCACCTATCTCCAATTAATCTACAACCTGCAGCAGCTTCCAAAGCCAAAACACCAGGAAGAGAAAGCCCTTTCAGCAGATGTGCTGCCAAGCAGGTGCTCCCAGCAGAAGCTGTCTGGGCTGGCAGAGGAAATCAAGCCAGGGGCTGCCCTGATGTGCAGCCACTCCCCACAGCACTCCTGCCCTCCTCCCTGACCATGTCTCCAGAAGCAGAGGCATCAGCAGAGCTGTGGATGCTCCTGTGCCAGAGGACCACCATCCCATGGGGAGACACAAAAGATGTTGTCTCTGGACCACAGGACAGCATCTGAGAGAGCAAAGGGGTGCAAAACCTGGGCAGCCTGCAGACATTGTGTGAAGGTGCCTCATGTAGTGAAGGCTCAAGGAAGGCTCAAGCCTCGAGGCTTCCTGAAGTCCTAATGGGACCAGGAATGTGCAACAATCGTGATGAGCTGTGCCCAGGGATGGGCAGCAGTTGCTGTGATGAGGGACACACACACAGCAGTCACAGTGTGGGTGTGAGCTCCCTTCAGCAGTGGGAAAGCTGCTGCTCCCTGAGCATGGCAAACCATGGCAAACCATGCTGGGTGCTGAGCAGAGACAGCCCTGCAGGAGCAGGGGCAGCACAGAGCTCCCCAGGGAGGGCAGGCAGGGAGGCAGCAGCACTCCACATCCCTGGCCCAGAAGGCCAACTAATAACCCTTGCACAGTTAACTAAAGTGCCTAGCTCATGAGGCTGGTGGAATGCAAATGCTGACTTTGGATTTGTGATTTGAGTCATATGGATGTTTTAATCACCAGTTGCTGATTACCATTTAACTAGCAGGCTACATCAGAGATGTCTTGAATTGTTTCTTTATTTAATTTACAGGGGTTGATGCAGCTGTTGCACAGACATTAAGGAAAGTTATCAGAATTAAAAGTTGTCCAAAGTCACAGAAAACTAGTTTAATTTGCTTCATGGTGTCCAAGGCTTTAAAGATATTTGTAACATCCTCACATTGTTTTCCTCCAACAGCTGGGTTCATTTTAGCTTATAAAACCAAATTTAAACAAATAAAATGACTGCCATATAAATAGCTGGATCACTTTTCCATGATGGGTGTTCATGGATTCAAGCTACAGAACACTGTTTTGTAAGGACTTCAAGCAACCAGCAGAAATTCTTAAGAGTTTTAAGAATTGAAATTTAAGAATTTAAACACTTTAATTGGGAAGTGCTGTTCACATGTCTGCTGACACATGCATGTTAGGAATACCTTTCAATATCCCTTGCTTGTGTAAAACAGAAGTCTCAAGTTATTCTTTTTTTTTCCTACAGACGAACACCAGAAACTTCAATCAGTTGAAGCAGAGATGAAAAAAGCACTAGAGATGAAGAAGACTGAAAAGAAAACTTGGCATTATTAAAAAGACAACTGAAAAGAAAACCCCATAAAGAAACACACTTGTAAATAAAGGATTCCAGAAAAACAAGCCAGGACTGAATAGCCCATCTGCTGAATTTCCTGTAGAGGGGACAGCACAGACTCACATGATCCCCACCAGAGCATCTCTAAAGCCATCCTGCAGCAGTCCTGAGCTGGGTCTCCAACACAGCAAGTCCATGGAATGTCTTTGACACAGTCCCACCTTGGAAACAGCACGTGCAGCATTCAGACTTGGGGTAAAGTCCACACAAGCAGCTTGAGTCTTTATCTCATCACTGCAAAAGGGACTCTAAAGCTTGGCTCCATCCTTAAACCTTCCCACATCATGAAGGACTGTGCTACTTTCTAACAGAGCTTTTACAAATGGGAATGAGATACAATCTCAAGCTAAGGATGGACAGATGATTGATATCCTCAGGGAAGATGTTTTAAAAAGGGATGTAGGAAAGGGGGTTGATTTTACAAGGCCCTCTATTCTGCTCACACTTTATCCTCTCCAAATAACTGATAGCCATTTTCTGAAGTGTGGTGTCTTAAAACATATTGGTGACATTTTCATTCATTATGAATGAAAGACTAATTCACAGAGCTAGCTTTGATGTATAAACAAATAACCACCTCTTGCTTTTTTCCGGGAAAGAACTAAAAAACAGTGAATAGAAAAGTCCTCTGTGGAACCGCAGTTACCCAGGAGACACCAGCAAAATACACAAAATATTTGGACACTACCTGATTACAAGCATTGTCACTATGAAGAAGACTTACATTGCTCGTTCTTTTAGAAGCAGCCAAGAGGAAAAGTCACCTTCCCTCACTTTATCTCCTTTATTTGAAAACTAAAATCCCAGGTAGTCAGAAATGTTGCACACAAAGAGAGCACTCATCTGCAACCCTTCAGATTTCTGTATCTTATTATCTCAGGTCAGCTTAAGGTTTGTAACGTGATATTGGGTTTCATTGTACGTGTATCCATTAGTACATGGGCTGAGCGTTAAAGCTTGTATGCTTTGTGCAGAGATATTTTTCTAATAAGCACATTCCTGGTGTGAGATGGGATGTGTCTAATCCATATCAAAGCTGATTGAGAGACAATGGGCTCCAGCCAGCTCAGCTCTGTTTCAAGGAAGGAGGACAATAACTGCGTTTGACATTTATAAAAATCTAATTTCCTTGTGCTTTAAAAATGGAGCTCATTACCCTTCGGACTGGTGCCTTCCA